TATCGGAAAATCGTCTCGCGTTTGACCATTTCAGCCTCGATTCAAATAGTAGCGGGCTCGAATCAACGGTGTAATTCTAGGCGTCAATCGCCGCCAAAGATTTGGGGTCAAACGACCGCACCATCCCAGAGTTTGAGCCGAAACATGCCGGTGAGTGGCCCCACCCAATACTCCCTATCGGAAAGTCGTCTCGAATTTCACCAATTCCGCCTCGATTCAACTCGTAGTGGGCTCGAATTAACGATAGGATACTACGTATTAATCGCCACTGAAGGGTTGCATCGAAACGTTAGCGTCATCGTAGAGATTGAGGCAAAATGTGCCGGTGAGTGGCCCACCCATTGTCCCAAGCCTGAACTCGTTTCGCATTTAATCAATTTCTCGTCGATTATGATGGTGGTGTGCTCGAATTAACGGTGCGTTTCTAGGCTTGAATTGCCGTGAAAGACTTGGGTCGAAACGATCACGCTATGGTGGATATTGAGGCGAAACGTGCCGGTGAGTGGCCCCACCCACTCTCCCCTTGCCTGAACTCGTTTCGCATTCAATCAATTTCGCGTCGATTGCGCTGGTAGCGGCCTCCGATTGACTGTGGGATCATAGGCTTTAATCTCCGTGACAGACCTGGGCTGAAACGTCCACGCCGTTATAGAGATTGGGTCGAGACTTGCCGGTGAGTGGCCCACCTGCTCCCCCTGACACAATGTCATTTCGCATTCAATCCATTCCACGTCGATTTGGATGGTAGCACACTCAAATTGACGGTATGATTCAAGGCTTCGATAGCCGCCAAAGATTTGCGGCGAAACGACGGCACCACTCGAGAGATTGAGTCAAAACATCTCGGTGAGTGGCCCACCCATTACTCCCTATCGGAAAATCATCTCGCGTTTGACCAATTCCGTATCGATTCAAATGGTAGCGGGCTGTTCAGGATGATACAGGGATAGGAATCGCGGTGTCTTGGGGTAAGTGGTGCCTTCCACTCATATGCACTTAAGAATTTGTGGCACTCACTCGCTTTTTGTCAGACAGCCTTCGTGTCATGCTCAAAATGTTTCTGGAGGAGTACTCCACCATCAGCGACACGCGCGCCACCGCTATCGCTGTGATCGTCATTATGAATGATGTTCGTGGGTCCACCTAGGTGCACGGTGCGTTCTCCGACCCCGAAAGTCTAGCAAGACTTTGGACTTGGTGATCTTATGTCTACTCAGACCACTGAGGACTTTGGTTCTAATGGTTTTCTATCCCAGTTGCCCACAGTTGACGATGGTCCGCCTGGGGGCATGATGCACCCTCTTAACATAGTGTGCTTTTTTCATTCGATTTTTTCGCCTTTCATTTTTTGGTGGAAGGCACTCTTTACCACCCAAATGGAGTGTCTCTGTTGAGGTTGGGGCTTTCGGACGTGTTTCGCGTCCGGAATTCGAGGTCACTCACTTACCTCTTCGCACCTGCCACCGATTTTTTCCTCTCCACATGCGGTTTTTATTGCCATTGAACACTCCTCATACGCAGGGCATCCGTCGAACCCTCATCGACATTGGTGGGCACGGTATTGCGCTCGCAATACCGGTTTATGTCTGCGAGGCGCACGTAGCACCATAATATAGGTGGCAGATAATTTTTTTTCTCATGATTTTTCGACTCGACTGGGCAGTTTGCAGGTGCGCACCATTAGTGTGGGACAGGTGGATTAGTGGGAACTTGGGTACGGGAGAGGGACGGGCCACTCGAGTGTGGCGTGAATTAGGCGCCTGTTTATGTAATCTGCAGCTCACGCGTGAGCTGCTCTCTACTGGTCAGCTTACCTCTGTAATTGTGTAGTATGTCTGATAGAAGTTATTATGCAGCACGGCACC